ACTTCAATACGCAACGTATTGAATCTCTTGTTAAATTAGTTCTTTACAATCAATTTTGCGATAATTCTTCTTCACACCAATTACACGCCGATCTGTGGTCGACACGCTACGCTTTGGGTTATCGCAAATTGTCACTTCTTTTAAGAATAATGCCTTGTTAAGTGGTGTCTTTGTGTGTGCGATGGTGTTGTGAGGTAACCCTTATCACGGCGAAGCAGTGAACCTGCCATCGATGTGCAACAACAAATGTCAGACCGAAAAAAACACAACTGAACCCAATTCCCTTTTTGTTGTCGAAAAAAAGCGTGACTGGTCAATTTGTCAATTATCCAAATGAGGGGAAGACATCCTCCGCCAGCAGAACCCAAGTGAGATGAGATAAAACAGATCACGAATATATTATGCAGCGATTACGAATGCAACCTACCGACCGATGGAAGGAAGATCAACAGGACAGCAAAAGTGTAGAAAAATAAAATATATATAATGATATTTACCACCTGGATGCAGGTGCTCTTGACTGTGTCCCCCTCTACCGAATAAGTAGCGCATTTTGGGCAAACAAACCAATCGAACGGATGTCAATTAGCTTAGAAACCAAAATGCACCATCTGATGAAGAAGCTGCCACTGGTGACAACTGCTGCACTCCATGTTTTCCTGTGAAATGTGAATTTGTTACTGCCATCCGAATCGGATGCTGACTGACGCTCCGTGAATGCATCCTCCCCAGATGCTTATTAAATTTGGCATGTTTTTCTGTTTGGTCACAATTTTAGTTTATTCACGTGATAACTTCTGGCTATAATGTTTTTTTTTCTCGGGTTGGCTTTGCCACAGCTACCCTTTGCCGGGAGGGCTATTAAATACTGTCAAAAAAGCAACATTGTTTGACAAAGCCCTACAGGTATAGCATACTTAAAACGAAATTTCAAAAAAGGTCTAGTTTCTAAAAATCCCGCTACCGCTCGAAAATTTTTGAGCCCAGCCTTGGGCTCCAAGTGGCATTTTCTATAGAAAATTTCTTGAGCCCAGCCTTGGGCTCCAAGTGGCATTTTCTATAGAAAATTTCTTGAGCCCAGCCTTGGGCTCCAAGTGGCATTTTCTATAGAAAATTTCTTGAGCCCAGCCTTGGGCTCCAAGTGGCATTTTCTATAGAAAATTTCTTGAGCCCAGCCTTGGGCTCCAAGTGGCATTTTCTATAGAAAATTTCTTGAGCCCAGCCTTGGGCTCCAAGTGGCATTTTCTATAGAAAATTTCTTGAGCCCAGCCTTGGGCTCCAAGTGGCATTTTCTATAGAAAATTTCTTGAGCCCAGCCTTGGGCTCCAAGTGGCATTTTCTATAGAAAATTTCTTGAGCCCAGCCTTGGGCTCCAAGTGGCATTTTCTATAGAAAATTTCTTGAGCCCAGCCTTGGGCTCCAAGTGGGATTTTCTATAGAAAATTTCTTGAGCCCAGCCTTGGGCTCCAAGTGGGATTTTCTATAGAAAATTTCTTGAGCCCAGCCTTGGGCTCCAAGTGGGATTTTCTATAGAAAATTTCTTGATCCCAGCCTTGGGCTCCAAGTGGGATTTTCTATAGAAAATTTCTTGAGCCCAGCCTTGGGCTCCAAGTGGCATTTTCTATAGAAAATTTCTTGAGCCCAGCCTTGGGCTCCAAGTGGCATTTTCTGTAGAAAATTTCTTGAGCCCAGCCTTGGGCTCCAAGTGGCATTTTCTATAGAAAATTTCTTGAGCCCAGCCTTGGGCTCCATGTGGGATTTTCTATAGAAAATTTCTTGAGCCCAGCCTTGGGCTCCATGTGGGATTTTCTATAGAAAATTTCTTGAGCCCAGCCTTGGGCTCCATGTGAGATTTTCTATAGAAAATTTCTTGAGCCCAGCCTTGGGCTCCAAGTGGGATTTTCTATAAAAAAATTTCTTCAGCCCAGCCTTGGGCTCCAAGTGGGATTTTCTATAGAAAATTTCTTCAGCCCAGCCTTGGGCTCCAAGTGGGATTTTCTATAGAAAATTTCTTGAGCCCAGCCTCGGGCTCCAAGTGGGATTTTCTATAGAAAATTTCTTGAGCCCAGCCTTGGGCTCCAAGTGGGATTTTCTATAGAAAATTTCTTGAGCCCAGCCTTGGGCTCTAAGCGGAGATTTTCTATAGAAAATTTCTTGAGCCCAGCCATGGGCTCCAAACGGAGATTTTCTATAGAAAATTTCTTGAGCGCAGCCTTGGGATTTTCTATAGAAAATTTCTTGAGCCCAGCCTTGGGCTCCAAGTGGGATTTTCTATAGAAAATTTCTTGAGCCCAGCCTTGGGCTCCAAGTGGGATTTTCTATAGAAAATTTCTTGAGCCCAGCCTTGGGCTCCAAGTGGGATTTTCTATAGAAAATTTCTTGAGCCCAGCCTTGGGCTCCAAGTGGGATTTTCTATAGAAAATTTCTTGAGCCCAGCCTTGGGCTCCAAGTGGGATTTTCTATAGAAAATTTCTTGAGCCCAGCCTTGGGCTCCAAGTGGGATTTTCTATAGAAAATTTCTTGAGCCCAGCCTTGGGCTCCAAGTGGGATTTTCTATAGAAAATTTCTTGAGCCCAGCCTTGGGCTCCAAGTGGGATTTTCTATAGAAAATTTCTTGAGCCCAGCCTTGGGCTCCAAGTGGGATTTTCTATAGAAAATTTCTTGAGCCCAGCCTTGGGCTCCAAACGGAGATTTTCTATAGAAAATTTCTTGAGCCCAGCCATGGGCTCCAAACGGAGATTTTCTATAGAAAATTTCTTGAGCCCAGCCTTGGGATTTTCTATAGAAAATTTCTTGAGCCCAGCCTTGGGCTGCAAGTGGCATTTTCTATAGAAAATTTCTTGAGCCCAGCCTTGGGCTGCAAGTGGCATTTTCTATAGAAAATTTCTTGAGCCCAGCCTTGGGCTGCAAGTGGCATTTTCTATAGAAAATTTCTTGAGCCCAGCCTTGGGATTTTCTATAGAAAATTTCTTGAGCCCAGCCTTGGGCTCCAAGTGGCATTTTCTATAGAAAATTTCTTGAGCCCAGCCTTGGGCTCCAAGTGGCATTTTCTATAGAAAATTTCTTGAGCCCAGCCTTGGGCTCCAAACGGAGATTTTCTATAGAAAATTTCTTGAGTCCGGCCTTGGGATTTTCTATAGAAAATTTCTTGAGCCCAGCCTTGGGCTCCAAGTGGGATTTTCTATAGAAAATTTCTTGAGCCCAGCCATGGGCTCCAAACGGAGATTTTCTATAGAAAATTTCTTGAGTCCGGCCTTGGGATTTTCTATAGAAAATTTCTTGAGCCCAGCCTTGGGCTGCAAGTGGCATTTTCTATAGAAAATTTCTTAAGCCCAGCCTTGGGCTCCAAGTGGCATTTTCTATAGAAAATTTCTTGAGCCCAGCCTTGGGCTCCAAGTGGCATTTTCTATAGAAAATTTCTTGAGCCCAGCCTTGGGCTCCAAGTGGCATTTTCTATAGAAAATTTCTTGAGCCCAGCCTTGGGCTCCAAGTGGCATTTTCTATAGAAAATTTCTTGAGCCCATCCTTGGGCTCCAAGTAGCATTTTCTATAGAAAATTTCTTGAGCCCATCCTTGGGCTCCAAGTAGCATTTTCTATAGAAAATTTCTTGAGCCCAGCCTTGGGCTCCAAGCGGAGATTTTCTATAGAAAATTTCTTGAGCCCAGCCTTGGGCTCCAAGCGGAGATTTTCTATAGAAAATTTCTTGAGCCCAGCCTTTGGCTCCAAGCGGAGATTTTCTATAGAAAATTTCTTGAGCCCAGCCTTGGGCTCCAAGCGGAGATTTTCTATAGAAAATTTCTTGAGCCCAGCCCTGGGCTCCAAGCGGAGATTTTCTATAGAAAATTTCTTGAGCCCAGCCCTGGGCTCCAAGCGGAGATTTTCTATAGAAAATTTCTTGAGCCCAGCCCTGGGCTCCAAGCGGAGATTTTCTATAGAAAATTTCTTGAGCCCAGCCCTGGGCTCCAAGCGGAGATTTTCTATAGAAAATTTCTTGAGCCCAGCCTTGGGCTCTAAGCGGAGATTTTCTATAGAAAATGTCTTGAGCCCAGCCTTGGGCTCCAAGGAGGATGTTCTAGATGGATGGCTCTAAGGGGTACTTTCTGTAGAAAAATTCTTGAGCCCAGCCTTGGGCTCCAAGCGGAGATTTTATATAGAAAATTTCTTGAGCCCAGCCTTGGGCTCCGAGGTGAATTTTTATATATCCTTTCCTTGGGTCCAATACCAAATTATTCTGTAGCTCCTTCTTCATTCGTTGTTTACCATTTCAAATCCAATACAATACTGCCAAACATCCAGCCCTTGTCAAACATGATAATTGGTGCCTATTGTGACCGCCCTGATAATCCCATTTTAAGCTTAACCGTGTCCGACAATTTGTTGTTTGGCTTAATGAGCTTTAACACCATCAATTTGTCACCTCTTGTTAGTGGTTTTGTCGTCCGTTCGCCTGTGCTCCTGGGTTAGTCCTGTGGTCGGGTGCTTTCTTTTGAATTTCGTGGTTTGAGTCAAACTCAGGCAATCTCAATGACAGTGGTCACTTCGAGTCCGGGCTAATTTGTCAAAAGAAGTCTTAACTTCGTACATTGTAGCCACTTGAAGCTCCTTCGGACAACAATGCTGTCAAAAAACGGCCACATTTTCATTTGTCAGGTAAAGTTACAAAGGATTTTTATCCGACTAATCCGGCATTTTTCGATTATGTAATTATACACAAAATTACAAGTATTATGGAATATTTTTGTTGTATTTTTTTGTAATGTTGTACTGTTGTTGTTGTTTTTAAAAATCCATGTTTACATCCTTCCACATTTATCGGCATTTATTTTTTTAAGGTGCCGTAATGCGGAAAAATATTTTCGTCCTTTTATGTGGTTTTAATTGCAATTGTTGCTCCTTGAAGAGGATTCTTTTCCTCCATTCATGTGTGTGTCCAAACAAAAGATTTTCTCATGCCTAACTTTTTTATTTTCCTTTTTTAATTTTTGTTTTTATTTTTCAGAGTTTCCATTTCAGAAGAGATTTTTTTTCCTTTGACCACAAAAGTGAATTTTCTTCTTTTTTCGGATGATGTGAATCGTATGAGGAGAAAATCCATTAAATTGCAATTGCAGATTTCCGCTTCCGCATGCGCGTTTTATGTGTGAAGAATGTAGGATAATCCGATAATTACACACCACAATTCACCGACCGAAGGGACAGAACACTGGAATTTACTTTGGGTACGTAGGCAATTTGCTGAAAGCGGCGAACAGGTAGGTGGAAATGTTTGCAATGCATGTCGGTCACGTGTTTTTGTTTTTTTTTTAAGAAATTAAAAATTATAAAAAAATTGATGTGGATATTATGGTCAACTACGAAATTTCATACTTGAACTTCGTAGAATGGAAAATAGTTTTGGTAATTTTGGTATGCTTTTAGTGCGATTTTCCAAAATAGTTGACATAATGTGACTGATGCGTAAAATTGATAATTTTTAGATTTCCCCGTTCCCTTAAAATAAATATTTAGTACATTTAAGCACGATTTTCCAAAATAGCTACTTGATGAGCGAAAATTAGAGATATTTATGCTCTTTTATTATACCCTCAGTCATATGGCTAGAGAGGGTATATATCATTTCACACGTGCCTCGTTGCACCAAATCAGTTTCAGGACAATTGGAGTCGATCTAGCGATATCCATCTGTCCGGCTGCCTGGTGCCCACGATAACTCTCGAAGTATCCGATTTGGTTTAAACTTGGTACATCGTAATATTATTATAAAACTTAGATCGTGTTCGGAGATGCTCAATATAGGTCCACTCCTTCTGGTGCCTCCCTCACGAACTTTTCAAAGAAAATATTTTACTGCACAGAAAGAGAAAGGATAATCCGATTTTGCTCCAACTTTGCAAATCCTAATATTTGCATTAGTGCCAGGTTCGGTGTGAAAATGGGCAATATCGGTCCACTCCATCAAGTACCTCCCCCACAGAAGGATTAAAATTTTAAATAATTATAACTTTTATAAAATGTGCTGTATGATTCCGATTGTCTTCAAATTACACACATCTCGATATTTTTATTAACCCGAGGTCTGGTGTTAAGATGAAGTATATCAGTCCACACCTTCTGGTACCTCCCCACAAAGTGTTAACATTTTGAATATGCATGAAGCTCATAAAATGTAAAATTAATCTATTCCAATCAAACTAAGTACATTTTAATATTTCTACTAACACACGATCTCCTGTGAAGATGGAATATATCGGTTCACTCCTTCTGGTACCACACAGGGTCAAAGTTTAAAATAACCGAAATGATCATAATATTCGAAATAAGCATCAGGTTATCTTCATATTTCTCACATCCCATTATTTCTACTAACACAAGAGCTGCTGTGAAGATGGGACACATTGGTCCACTCCTTCTGGTACCTCTTCCACAAAGGATCAAAATTTTGAACGCGAAATTAACATTCGATTCCATTCTGACTCGGCACATCCCAATATTTCTATCAACACAACATCTATTATAAAGATGGTAGAGATCGGACCACTCCTTCTGGTACCTCCCCCACAAAGGGTTCAAAATTTGGAAAAATAAAACGCCCATAAAACTCCAAATAACCATGCAAGACTTTTCAAATTTATGATTTCGCATAAAACTTGGAAAAAACTGTTTTGCCCATACTAATATTTTTAGCTAGATTAGATGATACATGAAAATGGAATACTTCGGTCGACTTTATCTGGTATCTTACGCACATTTCTATATTTTCTAAATATTATCACATATCGCATATAAAGTGAAGAAATTAACCAATATTGTCCCAACCTCGCAATGTTTATATAATATTTATTTAGGTCCGATACGAAATTCACAATATTGACCTATTCTTTTGGAACCTACTCCATAGAGGGTCAGCCATTTGAATAATCATAACAGAAGTCAGAACAGAATATATTTAAATAATCGAACATTGGCTGAGTGTATACATCTGTCGGCAAAACCTATCGATACTTTTTAACTTGTTTATTTAGTACTTTTCGTACACTATAAAGTACGTCTACATGCTTTACACTCGTCGTGGACTCTTATACCAAAATTTTTTAATTCCGCTTCTGTTTGTAGACTAACCAAATTTTATATTTTTCGAATTCTCAGGACTCCCCCTTATCAACCCCTTACATCCAGATTTACCCGTATGTCAAAAATCGTTCATAGTCGGACACACAGTTACTCCTATTGCTATTATACCAAGCCTAGTACCATTTTGCATTTCTCGTTGCTGTACAGGGTGAAATAAAAAACTGCAACAAAGTCAAATGCCATATTTTTTTTTTAAATTTTATTGAATGAAAGCAAAAAATGTCGGAAATAGCATCAAATTTTAGAATAAGTTTAGATTTGTACGAATTGGTGACCTTTAGCACGGATTATGTCCTTCAAACGGCAAATGAAACCGTCACACGCTGCCCGAATGATGATCTGCGGTATTTTGGCCCATTCCCGGCGAAGAGCTTGCTTGAGGTGATCGACACTTTGGTAGTGTCAACCTTGCTTTCCAAAATACTCCAAAAACAATAGTCCAACGGATTGGTATCCGGAGATTTTGTTGGCCATTTTGCGCTGGAAATGAAGACAGGAACCTCATTTTGTAACTATTCTTGGTTGGCGCGTGCTGAGTGCGATGGTGCTGTTTCCTGTTGGAATGTCCAAGGTCTGCGGCCAAAATGTTTGCGTGCCCAAGGCTTTAATACACCCTCCAGAATATTTTCGCGACAATATTCGGCATTTATTCTGATGCCACGGTCGAATAATACGAGCGGAGAGCGACCATCGGCTGTTATGGCGGCCCATACCATCACCATGGCCGGCGCTTGAATTCTGGTGGCCAACCGGAGGTGCACATTTTCAGCTGACCTCTTTGGCAAGCACGAACGAATTTTTCTCATCGGAGAAAACCAAATTCGGCAGTTCACCACTTCCAGCCAAGTGAAGCAACTCTATAGCTCTTCTGAGTCTATTTTCTTTCTGTTGCGGTGTAAGTTCTTGCACTTTTTAGAATTTCATTGGCTTACCCCGAGTTCATTTTTCAATATTTGCCGAATGGAATATTGCGATCTGTTCAGCTCACGAGCCATTTTTCGGCCACTGCGACACGGGTTTCGATCAAGTCCCTTTTTTTACTTTTCGAACCATTTCTGTTGATGTTGCTGTTTTCTTCAGTCCACTTCCTTGACGTTTGGCTACGCTACCAGTATCACGTTAACGAGCGATGGTACGAGACACAAAAGATTTATTCACATTGAAATACTGAAGTTCTCTAACGATAGCCACTTGTGGTTTTCCAGCCAAATATAAAGAAATCACACTATCGCGCTTGAATTCCATCACGAATAACTTTTATTCTGGAAAATTCTCGTCAAAATGCTTTTGTACACTTGTAAACAATATAATGAGCTGTCACATTAATAATTTTAGTAGCTGTCGGACGAGTGGATTAAAAATTACAGCAGTCTGAAATTACATCTCACCCTGTAAAATTTCAAGGTTTTAGTTCATGGTAGATTTTAATACTTGTCGTACATCAAAAGTTCGAATTTCGTAAAAACCCTTTGAAGACCCATAATTCCAAATTTCAGAATTCCAGTTTTATGTATGTGTTTTTTGAGAACATAATGGTACAATATTAGCACTATTTCAGTACTTTTCGTACCTATGTTGAACGAATTTCACAATTTTTTTCATAAAACAACCCAACTTCGCAACTCCGCCTAAAGTTGACCCCAGCCAAACTATCAAGATTCTAGCTTCAACCATTTTATCTGGCTTTAGCCATTTCTGAGGTTTAGTCTGTGAGTTAATCAGTCAATCCCTCAACTCTATAAAAAATTTTGATGAAGTATGACTCAGGATACGTCTCAATCCTGGATATTTCAATCTGCGTTTTCCCTAAGAAGAAAATATTAATGCCAAATAGAACCCTCTAACATTAATTTCAAAAAAAAAAACAACGATTTTTTTTTTGCCCCGACATCCAAAAAATTCTCCCAGTGTAAAAAATACCCCGACACTTTGTTGTCGTCGGACGCATTTATTTGTTTTAGTCCAGCCTGAAAATTACTGGCGTTTTCGTTATTAGACATTACCACTTTATTATTAGCGAAAGGTGATCGATTTGGCGCTTCGTGATCAATTTAAGACAACACACCCAGGCAGACAGACGACCAGTCAACCAAATTTAACAAAATTCCCAAAATCCGGATAAGAACCCCCCAAAAAATAAGAGATTAGCCGAAAATCCCAAAGTAAAACAAATAAAATCGCAGGAGCAGCAAAAAAAGATGTAGAGGGAGGTGGATACCTCTAAAAGATCTGCTTATTTTCTTCTCCAGCTTAAAGGTATCACAGCACATTGATCCATTGATGGAAACAGAATCATCCTTGGCTTTATTGCGGTGTGCCAATAATTACATATCAAGTGTTGTTGTTATTGTTGCCGTGATATGAAGGCAGCGATTCATTGCATTGACCAATTGATGTTAAATGTTTTCGTTTTTCGGGTTCTTAGGCTATGAACCAACCTGCGATCCAATTCCTCTTTTGTTTATCTTTCATTGACGTTTAGTTGCTACCATCTCACCTGGTGAGAGCCTCTTCAGCAGCTCGCGAAACCAAGAAAAAACACCATCGACAATAAGTGGCTAACCTGGCTGTCAATGCGCTATGACCTAAACTTAACGCGATCAATAAATGTGTTAAATTCGACATGGTGTGCCCCCCTTCGTTGGAAGCTTTGAAGCGTCTGCTGATTGTCCCAGGGGGATAAACGCAATGCGAAATGATTTTGGTGTTTTTCTGTTTGTTTTCATTGATCCTCTGGATTCGAATGGTATATTGCAGTGCGGTTCGATTTTCGTTTCATTCATAACTGTTTGCGGGATGTGTGGATTAACGCAAGGAGCACAGTGGTACAAAGCGAGACTAAGTATGTATCATGGGGAAAATTGTCAGATAAAGGGAAAATAGTTCTGAAATTTGTAGCATATATGAAATACAGTGTAGATAGACATAACAAAGGGGTTCTAGGAAATTCGAACTTTATGAGGTAACAGTTTATGAGGATATTTTTAATACGATCAGTCATATCCATTAATCTCTGCAATATTCTACACCAGCCCGGTGTTATCGTGGACAGATTTCAATTCGAATACTTTCGAGTCATTAGCTGCAACCGCAGTGCGTTCAAACCAA